CGGCCAAATTTGATTCAAATATGTTGGGAGCTTTTACTTTGTCAAATAACAAATGAACAATACACTCTTTAGAAGCTCTATTAAATCTTTAACAAATTCTATTGAGCTTGTACCCGTTTTTCGCCGTTTTTTTCTGTAATTTATTTTAGAAAACAACAGAAACAACATACAACTTGAATACTACTTTTTATTGCAAATTTGATTCAAATAAATGAAACGTGTAGTTTTCTACGTAGTTTTGTATAGAAAAAAAATCATGCTTGAAAAGATTGCTTGACCTTTAAATGAATAGAAATAAAAAGCTAATAAAAATATGTCACAATAACGCAGCAACTTTAAATAAAATCTTGCATTTGGAACCCAGCTGGAAATCCAAAAAAGATTGTTTATTGTAAAGAAAAATATCAAATAAATAAGGTGAATGTTTTAAGAGGACCTTTAGGTGATCAAATTAGAGAACGTGCTTTCTTTACTCTTGATTGAACGTTCATATAAGTATATAGGAATACAAATATTAAAGTTTCGTCTTAAAATATGAATGTTCTACGATAATATTTTAATAACTTAAACGTGATAATGTTATTTTTTTAATAAGCCAATAATGTTTGAATAATCGAAATGAATTTTCTTCAATGCTGCGTAAAAAAAAATATTTTTGGTTTTGAAAATAAAGATTTTATTTGAATGTATGTAAAAGTGAGTTATTTAGAAATTCAAACATATTATTTGAGAACCCTAGAACTCTGAAACAATTCCAACCGGGAAATCGGATTTATTTTAGTTTTTAGAACATTTATGACTTTTACTTATTTAAATGTTTCATCTTGACAATTTATTTTACAATTAGAAACCTTAAAAAAATTATAACAAAAAATCTAAACATTAAATATTTTTTTCCAAAAAATATCACAAATCTAGCTTATATATTTTTGTATTGCAAATTTCAAGACAACTAACTCGGAATCTCCTACAAATCTCAACAGTATGCAACACAATACCAATGAAACTTCTGCTACCCCTTCCACAAAATCACCAGAAAATGACAACCAACAGGTGCCAGTGCGAACATCATATAATCCCAGATTCGTTTTAACTCCTGAAAGTATGGGTATGAATTTACGCTCCGATACTCCTACACCCAATAGAGAACAAGCTCCACCACCAGAACCACCACTAGTGGAGGTGAAATCTTATTCTGAAAGGCATAGTAAAAAACCTATGGTGGGATTACTTTCTGATTTAAAACAAGAATCAAATGCATCTTTTCATAGTTCTCACTCGAATACTCCGACGAATTCATATGCCTCGATTAGGACCTCAGGATATCCTATTAAAACCCCTTCGCCAAATATATCACCTAAAACACCATCACAACAACAATGGAATTTCGATAATACAATGAAATCAGAATATTTGGAACAACAACAAAGTAATATATATACCTCATCGGCTTCTCTTTATCCCACGCAATCGTTAAAATATCCACATGCTAGCACCAGTACTTTTGTGCCCAGTGCCTCTAGTACTTTACAGAATCTGAAGTGTCCCCCCGTTGAACAACCACACTCAATCTCTACTAATACACACTGTACTTATGTTCAAAATAATACATCTTTGTCGGAGAATCCGTTGCTTGGCTATGGAGAGCAGCATCAGAAATATAGATCGGGTTCGGATGTTTGTATAGGCGATTCGGCTAAATTAAATTACAGCCATTTAAATAGTATATATTCGAAGAGAATAGAGGATATCGATGCTAATGTGTGGGGAGATAAAGATGTAATTTATTCTGGATTAATGTTATTAGATAGGTAGATAGATAGATAGATAGATCGATGATAGATAGATAGCTATATATAGCGATAGATAGCTCGATAGATAGATAGATGCTAGATAGCTAGATAGATCGCTAGCTCGCTCGCTCGCTCGATCTCGATCTCGCTCGCTCTCGATCGCTGCTGCTTCGCTCGCTCGCTCGCTCGCTCTTCGCTCGCTCGCTCGCTCGCTCTCTCGCTCGCTCGCTCTCCTCGCTCGCTCGCTCGCTCGCTCGCTCCTCGCTCGCTCGCTCGCTCGCTCCTCTCGCCTCGCTCGCCTCGCTCGCTCGCTCGCTCGCTCGCTCGCTCGCTCGCTCGCTCGCTCGCTCGCTCGCTCGCTCCTCGCTCGCTCGCTCGCTCGCTCGCTCGCTCGCTCGCTCCTCGCTCGCTCGCTCGCTCGCTCGCTCGCTCGCTCGCTAGCTCGCTCGCTCGCTCGCTCGCTCGCTCGCTCGCTCTCTCGCTCGCTCGCTCGCTCGCTCGCTCGCTCTCTCGCTCGCTCGCTCGCTCGCTCGCTCGCTCGCTCGCTCGCTCGCTCGCTCGCTCGCCTCGCTCGCTCGCTCGCTCGCTCGCTCGCTCGCTCGCTCGCTCGCTCGCTCGCTCGCTCGCTCGCTCGCTCGCTCGCTCGCTCGCTCGCTCGCTCGCTCGCTCGCTCGCTCGCTCGCTAGCTCGCTCGCTCGCTCGCTCGCTCGCTCGCTCGCTCGCTCGCTCGCTCGCTCGCTCGCTCGCTCGCTCGCTCGCTCGCTCGCTCGCTCGCTCGCTCGCTCGCTCGCTCGCTCGCTCGCTCGCTCCTCGCTCGCTCGCTCGCTCGCGCTCGCTCTCGCTCGCTCGCTCGCTCCTCGCTCGCTCGCTCGCTCGCTCGCTCGCTCGCTCGCTCGCTCGCTCGCTCGCTCGCTCGCTCGCTGTTCTTGCCCCTCGCTGGGTTTTTTCCTTCCTTTGCCCCCTTCCTGTTCCCCCGGTTTTTTTTCAGTTAAAATTATCACCTACCCTACCAAGAATGGGTCGAGATGTTAACGAAAATCAACGAAGCCTTTATCGTAAATATGGAAGCATTAGAAACAGAAGTGGCCGAACAGCTGGAACTGGTACAGAGAAAAGTCAATAGCAATTGTCGTCACAGTCAGGGCAATGAGTTGATGAAGTGTCGCAAAGACATAGATACGCTGCTGAAATATATAAAAAATGCTCGAAACTATAATAGTTGGGACCTGCAAGGTTTCACATTTGAGACAATAACGCCTGCGCAGTTATTTGATGTGAGTGATTTTGAAAATTTAACTATTGAAGGCAATGCTGGAGATGCAATGAAGGTGAGTTTTGTTTTGGTTTTTTTTTTTTTTTTTTTTAGAAATGAAATTATTTAGTTTCTTTAATAATTTCAGAATAGCAATGATGTTGAAGTTATGCAAAGAAACAAGGTGCGTAAGGGAGTATTTTAAATTATGTTTCGATCGATTATTTTGTAATATAACTTTGAATAAACATTTTTCTTATGATCATACATAATATATTTTATATTAATTGCTATAAGTAATATAATATCGTTTAATCCAAAATATGGGGAAATATTGGAATATATGTATTTGAACTTATCGGTTTCTTATGTTATCAAAATATATCTATATATCAATACTATCTAGTTTGTTTTTGTACAAACCAAGTAAAAAAGTAGGGTTAGCTTTATCCTAGATATATTTAATTTTCATTATTTAAATTCCACGTTCCAGTTGTATGCCAACATGAAGGCTTTGGCTCACGAAGTGGCCGAGAAACATGATGAAGTGAGGGAACTTAAACGTCAGGTCATTTCTATGGAGGATGAGATACAAAAGGCCCAACAGAAAATCCAATTAAAAGATGATGTTATCAAGGAGTTAAGAAATGATCTCAAATCTGCCAATAACAAGGTATTTGGAATCAATTTGCTTTGAGTTTTACTTTAAAATTTACAGTTTCTTTAAAAATTTTTAATAATAAAAAACGAAATAAAAAAATTAATTTTTGTTTTAAAAAAAGTTGACAAATATATTTCTTTTTTTTTTTCTTCTTCTAATCTAGCTCTCGGCCCATCATTCAGCGGAAACCAGCTTGACCATGCCTCCTATTAATTTTGAAGATCAAACTTCTCGCAGTGCAAATACACAAATAATAGATACTCCCAGGGTGAGTTTCTTAAGTAAAGAAGTTCTAGCTAAATAAATTTAAACATTTCTCCTTTAGTTCCCAGATGATAATGGTTCCCAATTCGACTCTCTAAGTAATACAGAATTTGAAGAACAACAAAAGCTCAAAGTTTTGGAAGAGGAAATAAATGAGTTCTTCGAAATAAATAAGGAATTAAATAAACAGAAAATGGAGAATCAATGTAAACGATTAATGGACATTTTACAAAAATCGGTATAAAACACAAAACATTAAAATATTATGGTTACTTATATTAACCACTTTTAGGAATCTGAAAAAGCTGCTGCTTATCGTAAACTAGACTTCATACGCAGTCAACTTATTGACTTGGAATCAGACTCTATTGAGAGCAACAACGATTGTGATTCAGGTTTTCATTCGAAAAGTGAAAATAATCGAGATGCCAAACTATTGGAGGCTGTACGCAAACGTTTGCGCAAATTAAATGAAACTAATGTTGAGCTAAAGAAAAGGTTACAAAAGTTAGAATTGGAAAACAATGGTATGTGGATTTAAGTAAATATTTGTTTGGATTAAAATTAACTTAATTGCAACAATATTTAACACTATTGCAGAGTTGTCCAACAGTTTGCTGTCGGAGAAAACATTTTCTCAGCGTAATAGTGAGACTTTAAAGGAAGTTGCAGATTTATTGTGTAGCTTGGTATGTAGGCAAAAAATAATTAATATAAAATCGAACTGTTATCAAATGTGGAATGGACTAGTCCCTTTAAATCCAACTATAAAGTACTATGCAGTCACGACAATGCATTATTCTATATTTCTGATCAAACTCTTAAGTTTAGATTGCTCTACAGTTTCGAATATAGAACAAAGTCTTAAGTAAAAAATACGTTAAAGTCTCGCCCATATACAGTTTGACCTATTATAGACTGTTATACAGTCTCGACTATTCTCTATTCTCGACTATAGTCTTTTCTATAGTCTTGACTCTAGAACAGTCTATAGTCTTGACTATAGTCTTGACTATAGAACAGTCTATAATCTTGACAAGAGAACAGTCTATTGTCTTGACTATAGAACAGTCTATAGTCTTGGCTATAGAACAGTTTATAGTCTTGACTATAGAACAGTCTATAGTCATGACTATAGAACAGTCTATAGTCTTGACTATAGAACAGTCTATAGTCTTGACTATAGAACAGTCTATAGTCTTGACCATATAACAGTCTACAGTCTTGACTATAGAACAGTCTATAGTTTTGACTATATAACAGTCTATAATCTTGACTATAGAACAGTTTATAATTTGGAGTATGGAACAGTCTATAGTCTTGACTATAGAACAGTATACAGTCTTGAGTATAGAAAAGTCTACAGTCTTGCCTATAGAACAGTCTATAGTCTTGCCTATAGAACAGTCTATAATCTTGACTATAGAACAGTCTATAATCTTGACTATAGAACAGTCTATAGTCTTGACTATTGAACAGTCTATAGTCTTGCCTATAGAACAGTCTATAATCTTGACTATAGAACAGTCTATAGTCTTGACTATAGAACAGTCTATAGAGTTGGCCATAGAAATGTCTATAGGCTTGCCTATAGAACAGTCTAAGGGCTTGACTATAGAACAGTCTATAGTATTTACTATAGAACAGTCTATAGTCTTGACTATAGAACGGTCTATAGTCTTGACTATAGCACGGTCTATAGTCTTGACTATAGAACAGTCTATAGTCTTGACTATAGAAGGGTCTATAGTCTTCACTATAGAACAGTCTATAGTCTTGACTACAGAACGGTCTATAATCGTGACTATAGAACGGTCTATAGTCTTGACTACAGAACGGTCTATAGTCTTGAGTCAAGACTATAGACCGTTCTGTAGTCAAGACTATAGACTGTTCAATAGTAACACTATAGCCAATACTTTTTACTGTTCTATAGTCAAGACTATAGACTGTTTTATAGTCAAGACTATAGACTGTTTTATAGTCAAGACTATAGACTGTTCTATAGTAAAGACTATAGACTGTTCTATAGTCAAGACTGAAGACTGTTCTATAGTCAAGACTATAGACTGTCTTCAGTCTTGACTATAGAACAGTCTATAGTCTTTACTATAGAACAGTCTATAGTCTTGACTATAAAACAGTCTATAGTCTTGACTATAGAACAGTAAAAAGTATTGGCTATAGTGTTACTATTGAACAGTCTATAGTCTTGACTATAGAACAGTCTATAGTCTTGACTATAGAACAGTCTATAGTCTTGACTATAGAACAGTCTATAGTCTTGATTATAGAACAGTCTTCAGTCTTGACTATAGAACAGTCTTCAGTCTTGACTATAGAACAGTCTATAGTCTTGACTATAGAACAGTCTATAGTCTTGACTCTAAAACAGTCTATAGTCTTGACTATAGAACAGCACATAGTCTTGACTATAAAACAGTATATACTCTTGACTATAGAACAGTAAAAAGTATTGGCTATAGTGTTACTATTGAACAGTCTATAGTCTTGACTATTGAACAGTCTATAGTCTTGACTATAGAACAGTAAAAAGTGTTGACTATAGAACAGTCTATAGTCTGACAGTCTATAGTCTTGACTATAGAACAGTCCATAGTCTTGACTTTGTAACAGTCTATATTGACTATGGAACGGTCTATAGTCTCGACTATAGAACGGTCTACAGTCTTGACTCTAGAACGGTCTATAGTCTTGACTATAGAACAGTCTATAGTCTTGACTATAGAACAGTCTATAGTCTTGATTATAGAACTGTCTATAGTCTTGACTATAGAACGGTCTATAGTCTTGACTATAGAACAGTCTATAGTCTTGACTATAGAACGGTCTATAGTCTTGACTATAGAACAGTCTATAATCTTGACTATAGAATAGTCTATAGTCATGACTATAGAATAATCTATAGTCTTGACTATAGAATATTTTATAGTCTTGACTATAGAATAGTTTATAGTCTTGACTATAGAACAGCCTATAGTATGGACTATAGAAGAGTCTATAGTCTTAAATATGGAACAGTCTATTATATTGACTATAAAATAGTCTTGACTTTAGAACAGTCTATAGTCGTGACCATAGAGTAGTCTATAGTCTTGACTATAGAACAGTAAATAGCCTTGACTATAGAACAGTAAATAGTCTTGACTATAGAAAAGGCTAGAGTGTTCTATAATCGTTAAAGCACTTTTATCTTTTTGTACACAGACAAAAGCCTTCCATTTATTGCATATTTTTCTTTCAATTTCAGAAAGGTAAACAATTCTCCTACACTGACATCTATAAAACAGCACCGAACGGAATGAATCCTTTCTGTGAGGCTATTATGGAAATGAAAAAAGATTTTCAAGATCGAGAAAGTCAACTGATGAAAGCAGTAGGCATTAGAAGCAAACAGGTATATTATTAAAAAAATATTCAATGAAAAATATATTAAAATTACTTTAATATATTCTACAGGTTGAGGAACTGTCAGAATCGTTGCTAAAAAACGAAAAAGATTTTAATGAAGAAAGAATAATGCGTTGGGTAAGTTTATATGAATTATTTGAATTATAACTTTAAAACTATTTCCTGCCATATTAACACTTAGAATCACAATAATTTGAAGGACACCACCAGCACAACACCAACAACAACAATACAATCAACGATATCATCAGCACAAGCAACTCTACCAGTAAGCACCACATCTATTAGCACATCAGCACCAACACTATCCTCCTCATCAACCTTGACTGGCCAGCAATTAAACACTACAACAGCGGCTTCCTTGCAAGGATTTTTAAAGAAATAATCATGTGTTGTAGGGTCTCATTGAACGGTTTTTTTATACTTAATGAAAATAGAAAAATCAACAAATTAAACATACAAATCGAACACCACCCTAAAGTATACTATATATTTCAACAATATAAACAAGGACTATGTACGACATTGTCCTTAGAGCATAAACAAACAAAAAATTAAAAACTTAATTTGACGAAGGTATGATAAAGGGAGAGAGAGAGAGTAAGAGCAGAAGAATCTGAAACCGAAATGACAAGGACTTTAGATTAACTAACAAAAATTGAAAATGTAAAATGGGGGAAAGTTCTGACATTGGGAAACTTAGTAAGCAGTTAAGTAAACACTTTAAAAAGTGTTATGGAAAGATTTGGAACTTAATATTTAAAGGAAATTAGATAAAAATTATAAAATTGCATAAACAATTTTACATTTAAGCTATAAATAAAATGTTTTTGTTAATTTATATTTAATAAAAAATATTATTTAATTACATTTCTTTTAAAAGGAGCTATAGAGCAGTTCATAATCGTGATCAGTTTATAATTAGTTTACAGTCAAGACTAGGGAGTAGTTTATAGCATTCTGGTGATGCAGTAGATCAGTCTACAAATGATAATAATCAAAAATATTCACTAGTCTATAGTCGAGACCATATAGGGGGTTATAGATCTGCTTATAGATCAGACAATGGTAAAGATAGTCAAGAGTATAAAGTTGTCTATGGATAAGATTATTTAGTATATAGTGAATACTTTAGATCAGTGTATACTCAAGACTATAGATAGACTAATATTTACTCGAAACTATAAATCCGTCTAGGTTCGCGATTATAGATCAATAGTAAACAGTAGTGACTTAAGATTATTCTATATTCAAGATTATAAATAAGTCTATAGACGAGAATAGATAGAGGCTATTGATCTATAGTCGAGTATATATATATATATATATATATATATATATATATATATATATATATATATATATATATATATATATATATATATATATATATATATATATCTATATATATATATATATATATATATCTATATATATATATATATATATATATATATATATATATATATCAGATATTAGTTAACATTGAGGCCGATAAATATTGAAGACTATAGATTAATCTATAGTCGAGACTATAAATCAATATATATTCGAGTCTACAGATCAGACTATAGTTCATTCTATAGTTGAGACTATAAATCAATATATATTCGAGTCTACAGATCAGACTATAGATCATTCTATAATCGAGACTATAGATCATTAATGAGATATAGTCTTCAGTTGATAATATAGGCTGATCTATAGAGCTGACAATAGTTAAGAACGATCAATGGTAATGGTCCATAATTAATACATTCCGAGACTACTAAACTGTCCATAGACGAAACTATAACATATAGATCAGTCCATACTATAGTCTTCAGTTGAGAATATAGGCTGATCTATAATGCTGTTAATAGTAAAGAACGAACGATGGGATCAGTCTATAATTAATACATGCCCCTATGAAGGCATAATTTAATGTTTTCCTATTGGCTACCTTCTCTTTAATTTCTTAACAATGAAAAATCCTTTTGTTTTCCTATTATTTTGTCTTAGAATCAAACATTCCTACAAGTGAAACCAAATCTTTTTAAAACAATGAACACCTTGGAAAGTACAGACATACATAAATGTTTGTAAATGAACTTTAAATACATACAAATATAACATTTTTATATAAGTAAAACATTTATCATGATTATTTAGACATGTGTAGTTGCTATATAATAGATTTTCATATAAAATAACATATAGGTGGAACTACTACGGATGCAATATAAATAAAATATATTCTCATATAATTGACTATGGGAGTAGACAGAGTAGTAGAGGTGGTTTTGCTATAGACATTTATTTTTGTGCAAATTTTGTAAAATGTAGGTTATCGATTTGAAATGAAATTTAAATTTTATTCTTTTTAGAGTTTTTTTTAAGAAATAAATAGGGAGTGAGTTTGTAGCCATACATACATAGGGATATATGCAAAATTGGTTAAATGTTAAGTTTAATTTATATACAAATTTTACATATTTGTTAATCATATTGTTTGTACATATATTTAAGTAAATAAATTTGAATATTTTGATTTCCCGCCAAATTGTTGTAATATGCCAAAAAGTAAATAGTGAGTGATTGAGAATATATGTGTAAGCTATATCTAAAAAAATTGATTTGAAAGCAAATTGTGATTTTTTTACTTTAGTGAGATCACAGGTTATAGAGGTTTATAGTTAAGATTCCTAACCCATTTACAGCCAATCAAAAAGTACAAGTTAAATTTTTGAAACTTCAAGGTATATTTATTTTCAACAATGCAAAAAAGCAGAAACGTAAAAAAAAATGCTAAAAAATATTAATAATTAGGACATTAGAGGGAATTTCCGTTTTTATGTAGCTCGCGTTTTTTAACGGCTTAGAGCCGTCACAGAAACTAGAAACAGAGTGAAATGGCAGACACGGGCATTACTATATGTTATCAGATTATTTTTATTCGATACTATAGATGAGTCCGCAGTCGAGAACATGGAACAGTCTATAGTCGAGAAAATATGGCTGTCTGTAGTCAAAACTAACTAACTAACTAACTAACTAACTAACTAACTAACTAACTAACTAACTAACTAACTAACTAACTAACTAACTAACTAACTAACTAACTAACTAACTAACTAACTAACTAACTAACTAACTAACTAACTAACTAACTAACTAACTAACTAACTAACTAACTAACTAACTAACTAACTAACTAACTAACTAACTAACTAACTAACTAACTAACTAACTAACTAACTAACTAACTAACTAACTAACTAACTAACTAACTAACTAACTAACTAACTAACTAACTAACTAACTAACTAACTAACTAACTAACTAACTAACTAACTAACTAACTAACTAACTAACTAACTAACTAACTAACTAACTAACTAACTAACTACTAACTAACTAACTAACTAACTAACTAACTAACTACTAACTAACTAACTACTAACTAACTAACTAACTAACTAACTAACTACTAACTAACTAACTAACTAACTAACTAACTAACTAACTAACTAACTAACTAACTAACTAACTAACTAACTAACTAACTAACTAACTAACTAACTAACTAACTAACTAACTAACTAACTAACTAACTAACTAACTACTAACTAACTAACTAACTAACTAACTAACTAACTAACTAACTAACTAACTACTAACTAACTAACTAACTACTAACTAACTAACTAACTAACTAACTAACTAACTAACTAACTAACTAACTAACTAACTAACTACTAACTAACTAACTAACTAACTAACTAACTAACTAACTAACTAACTAACTAACTAACTACTAACTAACTACTAACTAACTAACTAACTAACTAACTAACTAACTAACTAACTAACTAACTAACTAACTAACTAACTAACTAACTAACTACTAACTAACTAACTAACTAACTAACTAACTAACTAACTAACTAACTAACTAACTAACTAACTAACTAACTAACTAACTAACTAACTAACTAACTAACTAACTAACTAACTAACTAACTAACTAACTAACTAACTAACTAACTAACTACTAACTAACTAACTAACTAACTAACTAACTAACTAACTAACTACTAACTAACTAACTAACTAACTACCTAACTAGACTAGACTAGCTAGACTAGACTAGACTAGACTAGACTAGACTAGACTAGACTAGACTAGACTAGACTAGACTAGACTAGACTATAGACTAGACTATAGACTAGACTATAGACTAGACTATAGACTAGACTATAGACTAGACTAGACTAGACTAGACTGGACTATAGACTAGACTATAGACCAGACTATAGACTAGACTATAGACCAGACTATAGACTAGACTATAGACTAGACTACAGACTAGACTATAGACTAGACTATAGACTAGACTATAGACTAGACTATAGACTAGACTAGACTATAGACTAGACTAGACTATAGACTAGACTAGACTATAGACTAGACTATAGAATAGACAATAGGCTGGACTACAGAATACACTATAGACTAGACTACAAACTTGTTACTGACTACTCCATATTCAGACTATATATAAAAAGTTTATAAGTTAGAAAAGTACTACATTACTGAATTTTCTATGTCTGGTCGTCACTATATGTAGAGTAGAGATGAAACTAAACAGTACTATATAAAAATTTAAAAAACCTTCATTTGCAAACATATTCCTTCTTCGTCAATATTTACCAAGCCAAAATTATGCATAACTTCCAACTTTAATAAATTTCCCGCTAATCACACTTAATTCGTCGACTTAATATAAAACACTTAATAAATTTATTTTACTGCCACAACTAACAACAACAAATAAAGAAAACTTCAAAACTTTATACAGCACAATGGGAACAAATAAAACTTTATTTGGCAAAAGAAATAAAATAAAATAAAATAAAATATGACGAAAAAAATTCCTGTAGTTAACAAAAAAATTGTAGAAGGAAAAACAAAAACAAATTCAATAAATGGGAATGCAATGACTCCTTTTTGCAGTGTAATAGTATTTGTGTGGTAACACAAATACAAACATTTATATCAATAACTATGTAATGTAGAAAAAACCCTTATCAATACATGTCGAATCATTTTTTTATAGAATACAAATGACAGGAAACAGCAGAAACTAACATTTCCTGACTGCCTGCATTCGTGACAAGACAGCGAACAAAATAAAACGGAAGTTTTCGGTTAAATTCAATAGAATAAGAAAAAAACTATATTGTTCATAAACAGAAATTAAATAAAAAATATCGAAAAAAAGAAACGGATAAAACTAAAAGAAAAGTGTAAAAAGTTTTCTTAGTTTTCAAAAGAACAAATCTTTTTAACAATTAGCGAACAAGAAAGTATTGAAGTGTAAAATGTTGATTCCTTTCTAGT